ATGGATCAAATAAGGAATGAATCTATATAAAAATAATTTTAATTGATTTTATATCTTAAATATTGTAGGATTTTTTACCTAGTTCAAGTAAGAAAATATTTTATAACCTAAATTTTAGTTGATTCAAAATATTAAATATTAGGTACATACTTTAAATTACAATTTTGTCTAATGTAAAATTTATTTTTGAAGAATAAAAAAGGCGAACGACATTTCGTTAAGGGTCTTCGTGCTTTTAATATAGTGTATATATAGATTTAATAAAGAACAATCAACTTAGACCATGTCTAGTAAAATATAATGATATAATTTTACTACACAAAGAACATAAATTTGAAGTACAAAGAACAAATTTACTACTTGTAATTTTAATTTTTAGTATTGTTATGCAAAATTCGAAAGAAGTTAGAAAGGTCTGTGTTACAATCCAAAACATCAAGTAACCTGAGTGTACTCGTCCAAAAAAAAAAATTGATAGATATGTCCATTATTTGATGTACTTCTCTATATCGTCAACAACTTCACTGGGCATAACCAAGAAATCCATGCCATGATCGAGGTAAAACCAAATCACAAAAACTGATATTTAGTTCCGTCTATGCTAGCACTAATAAGTATAATCGAGATATCTTATGGCAAAATATAAAAAATATCTACAACTCTTATAAAGGGGCTTGGCTTATAGGTGGGGATTTTAATGATGTGATTATGGCCCAAGAAAAATTAGGTGGCAGGGCAGTAAACCAAAAGCGTGCTAAAAGCATTTTAGAAAGCCTAAATTACTGTAAACTTTTTTATCTAGATTTTAAAGGGTGTAAGTTTACTTGGTCGAACCATAGAAGAAAGGCAAAAGTATGATAATGGAACGATTATATGGGGTCTTTGCTAACACGGAATGGATAGATCAATATCCTGAAGCCTCCATAATCCACTTACCAAAAACTCACTCCGACCATAACCCCATTCTCATTTCTCTCAAAAAGAAAAATATGACCTATATTGACAAGCCCTTTCATTTAGAAATAATGTGGTGCTAACACCCTGAGTTCATATCATTAGTGAAAAAGCATTGGGTCACAAATGACCTTATAACAGCCACCAAGTCCTTTGAGGAGGATGTTAAGTCCTGGAGTAGAGAGGTTTTTGGTGACATTAATAGGAAGAAAAAAAAAAGCTTCTAGCGAGGATAGGTGGAATTCAGCTTAGTCCTAGGTATAGCACTAGCATTTTCCTTCAAGAGTTAGAAGTCACCTTACAACAAAAATATAATGATATCCTAAAATTTGAGGAAGACTATTGGAAATTACGATTTAGAGTTATGTGGAAGAATGAGGGGGACGCTAACACAAAATATTTCCAAATCACAGTCACAAATAGAAGAAAAATTAATAAAATAACTTTCTTTAAAGATGACTCTAATAACTGGATAGATGACCCCAAATCCATAATGGACCATACGGTCAAATTTTTCAAAAATTTATTTACCACTACTCATACTCTATCTACTTGGAATACCAAAACAAGTAGCACCCTACCAAATCCACATTGCCCTCTCTCGTGCCTAGATCAACCCCTTATGGATTCTGAAATCACAAAAGCAGTCTATTTTTTTCAACCTAATAAAGCCCCAGGCCGGACGGCTTACACCCCTTATTTTTCAAAAATATTGGAATAACATTAAGGGAAATGTAATTGACTTTTGCTATAAAGTCTTTAGGGAAAGTCATATTCCAAAGGATATTAACAAGACATACATTTGCCTAATACCCAAATTTGAAAATGCAAACAACTTAAAAAAACTTTAGGCCAATTAGCCTTTGCAACACCATTTACAAGATCATTATCAAAATAATTGCCAATAGAATGAAGCCTTTTATACAAAATATAATTGTCCCTCATCAAGCCAGCTTCATCAAAGGTAGAAGGGCTTGTGACAATACTGTAATTATCCAAGAAGTTATGAACTACATGAAAAACTCAAAGAGCAAGAATGGGAATATGGTAGTTAAAATAGACCTAGAGAAGGCGTTCGACAAATTGGAATGGTCCTTCATACATAGGACGTTAACCTTTTTTAACTTCCCTTCTAAAATGATCAATCTAATAATGTCATGCATCACCTCCTCTAGTTATACCATCCTGGTCAATGGTTTTAAGTCTGAATCCTTCATTCTATCAAGAGGGATTAGACAAGGTGACCCAATGTCCCCTACATATTCATCCTATGTATGGAGATATTATTAATAATAATCAACCACCATGTGGACATTAGGAAATGGGACACTATAAAAATTGCACCTAGAAGTCCTCCCCTATCACACTTATTCTTTGTAGACGATTTAACTCTAATAGGCAAAGCTAATACGAAGATAGCCCACTTTATGATGAGCTGCCTTGATAATTTCTGCCAACTATCAGGACAAACTATTAATAAATCAAAATCAAAATTAATAATCTCTAAACAGTGCCCAACTCCAACAAAAAACAACCTAACATCCATTTGGAATATAAAGCCTAGTGAAGCCTTTGGCACATATCTTGGCTTCCCAATACTAAACACAAGTCTCAAACCAAAAGATTACCAATTTATCATTGATAAAATGAGAAAGAAATTAAGTAGTTGGAAAGCAAAGTGGCTTAATACAACGGGTAGGTGCACTCTACTCTCCTCTACTCTAAATACAATCCCAAATCACATCATACAATCATCTATGTTACCTGAGAAAACTCTTAGGGAGATTGATAAAATTCAACGGAATTTTTTATGGAACTCATTCCCTGACAAGCGGAAAATTCATATGATTAATTGGAATACCATTACAAGGGATAAGTGCATGGGAGGTCTGGGAATAAGGCAAGCGAAAAGTAAAAATCTTACTCTGCTCACAAGCCTAGTATGAAGAATGATAAACAATCCAAACTCCCAATGGACAAAGGTGATCTCAAGTAAATACGCAAATACTAGGGGAAAACCTTCAACTGCTCACACATGGAAAAGCATCCTTAGGGGATGGTACTATTGCAACATAGGTACAAGATGGGATACTAACAACAAAACACCCCTAAATGTTTGGAATTCCAACTGGATTCCTAATGTAAGGAACCTTAGAAAGGCGATCGCAGGCCCCCTAACAGAAAATGAGGATAAACTTACAATTAATCAAATTAGGAAGAAGAGTCAATGGAACTTAACAAAAAATTCATTCGACCTCCTAGATAAAATAATTGATAACATTAAGGCTATCATATCTCCTAAGGAAAACTTTTCGAATGTTAACAACATATGGAGCCTGTCCTCAAACGGCCTATTCTCGACCTCTTTATGCTATCAAATCATTAGCGGAAAGGAAAAAACTGATATTGATTTCAACTGGATCTGGAAATTGTGATGCCCAAACAAATTTAAAATCTTCATTTGGAAGTGCTACCATAATAGACTCCCTATGCGATCTTGTTTGGCCAAAATAGGGATCAATATTGACCCTATATGTCCAGTTTGCAAACAAAAGGAGGAAACGATGTCACATATTCTGGGATCGCAATGCAAGTAACAAGTTATGGTACACTTATGGCCTCCACTTTAATACTGAGGCTCAAAATATCTATTGGCTTGACTACATTAGACAAAACAATATTTATGTTAACTATTACTATCTTACTTGGAGTGAAGTCTTCCCCTTTGCTATATGGAACATTTGAAAAAATAGGAATATTAATAATCACAATAATACCTCTCACAAACTATAATAGCCCACAATAATCAACCTATCTCTTGAGTATAAGCTCATGACTGAAAAGTCTATAACAAACCCCGCACAAATCTATAAAAGTAAGACGGCACAAGCCACCACAAGGATGGCGTAAACTAAACATAGATGGTGCCTTCAACACAGATAAAAGCCAAGGTGGACTTGGTGGAGTTGTAAGAAACCATGCAGGTCACTGGATAATGGCGTTCACCATGAAAGTGCCCACACTCTCAGCTGCTCAAGTGGAACTTCAAGCTCTACAGGAAGGCCTCTAGCTGGTTATCACACACAGCCTGCTTCCAGTAGAAATTGAAACGGACGCATCAGAAACAATAAACATGATTGAACATGACCACCCTAATTACGCAAGTTTAATTTATGCATGCAGATTGTTACTTTTTCAAGCGAGGCAGAAGGGGCCGGTAACCCTCAAGCATAGCTTCAGGAAAGAAAACGCAGTGGCACATGTTTTGGCTAGGGATGCACTCATACCGTCCAACATAAATAAGCTTTGTCTGTTGGCGACCCCACTTGAACCGGCAATGACACAATATGAAAGGGACATGGAGGGCTTTTGTTCTATAAAAATTACTTCTACTAAAATATGCACTAAGTTGGATGCGTTAGGGAAGGTTGATGCCTTAGAAGGTTGTAGTTCAAATGTAAGTGCCAACTGCGGCAATATTTTGTAATATGTCAAAACTTAATACTTAGTTATTATTAATATATTTCCTACTGTTCCAAAAAAAAAAAGCTTTGGTTGAACTGAGCTGAGACTGACTCGGTAAAGAGATTTTACTGTTTAACCTCTAGAATAGAATAGACCACCAAATGAGCACAAGTCTTATAACCACCCAATCCTTGTTCCATTTCCCAATTAGTGAGAGGTACTCCTGTAAAATAGCACCGTTAATAAAACAACACATTCCTCTTGACTTTATCAGCAATTCCATTCCCTTATCTCTAAAGTCCAACTCAGCTCATCGCTTCTCCAACATTTTTCCCATTCAAACCGAGAAATTGGAACGGTTTAGAAAAATCCGAATTTTAGCTATACGTAATAACTTAATAAAAATTTACTCCAACATACTATAAATTTCTTGATAAAATTATCAATGAAACTCATTGACACCTATCCCATGCACCCCACCGTACCACAAGAATGCATGTTTTGCTCCATTAGAAAAACCAACCTGAAGTTTAACTCTTTTAGTTGCTTCTCTGGCCAACAACTCTAGAGAGAGTTGAATAATGGCTGCCTGTGGAGGCCTAAACCACATGTTTGCAGAAAATTCGACAACTCTTGATTCCCTCTCCTTTACAGAGATTTTTGAAGAATTAGATTTAAAAGATAACAATTCTGAGTCCTCCTTTTCCTCCTCCATCTCATCTTTTTCTTCTAATCTACCTCCATTGTCTGCCGCCTCCTCTTCATTATCGTCAACATCTTCTTCTTATAATTCTTCTTCATTTTCTCTAGAAACAATCCACCAGTCTGGAATTGAAGGGAAAAACAAGGACCCCATTTATCCAACAAGCAACCAAGAATACAAGCATAGTGATAGCTTTTCCTCAAGAAATTCAGATACTCTATCATTATGTATAGAAGGCCTTGGATTTGAAAGCTCTGATGATGTTGAAGATATTATGAATTATTTGAGTAATGAGAATGAACATGAACAAGAACATGAAGGGATTAGATCAACATGCATTAATTCCAAGTTAGAAAATCATCATGAATATTCCAAAAGATATTCAAGAACAAATAAAGGGTCATTATTACCTCCTCCAATTTCTTGCATTGGAGGAAGTGGAAAGCCTTGGGTTTGTTTTAAATCTTATAGGGAAGATGGTAGGTTTATTCTCAAGGAGATTAGAATTCCAGAGTGGGAATTCTTGCATGCTTGTCGAGAAGATGGACGTTTGAAGCTACAGTATATTCAATCAGATGATGAAATTCTAGAGGAAGACGAAGACGAAGAGGAATATGATGATGATTCAGAGGATTTCGAAGAGGAACCAAATGATGATGATAAGAAAAAAGAATATGAGAATCTTGCTGAAGAACAATAATGTAGGAGTTGAAGAATAGGTAACATTTATAAAAGGTGTTTGTTAACTTTTTCTTTTGTAATTATTTTGCCCATTATGAAGTTGCAGGGGAGCTGCAAAGGAAAAAGTTGCTAGCTACTTTTTCTTCTCTTTCAAATTTTCAAATAAAGAGAACTTGCAATGGAATTCTAAGTTCCAGATTGAGATCTTATTATCCTGAAATTCTTAACATTAATTTCCATTTCATTATGCTGGATTAAGTCGCTTTTATATTGCCCTTCATCTGTTTTTATTTCTTTCATTAGACTAGTCTAAATTCCTTAATAATCAAGAATCTTTTTGAAAGTGATGGAATTGCATGACTTCTTATATTTTTGGTGATGAGTTTGGAGTATAATAGAACTGGTGCACGAGTAGGGCAGGGATCAGATCCCTTTACTACTATCCTTACCATAGTGTTAACAAGAAAGAAAAAAAAACAAGGAAAAGCAAAAACCAAAAACAAATGGCCAAGGGGGGGAGAGGTAGACTACGAAGGCACAGATGTTGACCAAACAGGAGTTCACCGTGTTTGTTCGAGCGCACGAACAACTCATATACAAAATTAAACTATAGAGAAAATACTTTTATTTATTTTATCGTATCATCAATGTGTTCATCATGTTTGTGTCTGTTTCTTTTTGCCCAACCAAGTTAAAATGTTAGATATAAAACGTACTTTTATTCATTTAATTATATATTCACCACACCCAAAATAAAATTCATCATATTACCAGGTTAGATTTCAGCGGGTGTTAACTTACTCATATCGTTGGTCCCAAACGCGATTTAGAAGATTTGTGATAAATTGACATTAACATAAAACTAATTAATATAATAAATACTCATAGTATAGGATATTAACTTAAAATAACTGGACATGGATAATAATTATTTTATATATAATCGGCATGACTTGCTTAAGATTGAAGTATATTAGTTATTGTTTGTGTTGCCATCTCAAGCTAAAGTATTTAACACAATACAAAATTAGCTCATGAAAATATGACCACCCAAGTTTGGGTTGGGTTGGTTGGGCTGGACATATATTTATGGATTAGTTACCTCCTATAGCAAAGGTTGATACCTTGTTTATTTTAAATAAATACCCTTTTAAAAAATTATATTCTATAGCTACCTTTTGATTTTTTATAGCCAAATATCTATTTATGGTCACTTCCTACCTTTAAGCCATAAAATAAGTTTTGTATTATTTTTCTCTTTCCACTTAAATTTCTCTTATCCCTTCAAATTTCTTGTATCCCCTACCCCATATCTATTCATCATCTCTCTCTCATCTTCCACCTTCATCTTACTACCAGAACTCTCGGGCATGAAGGTGAATCAATCGTACCGTCCGTCTCTCATATATTTTCTCCACCGAATGAAATGGTCTACGTAATGACCTGTTTTGTGTATTTGGGTTTTGGGCCCAATTCCATTTCCAGAAGAAAATGACTTCATTACGCCTTCGTCAACATCCCCGTTGCTACCATCCTTTTCTGTCCTTTCCCGTATCATTCTCCCTTCCTCCTTATTTGACAATTCTACCCCTTTCTTTAATACCAAGTACTATTCAGTGCTTAGATCTGGATGAGATTTCTACTCCTTTAGAGAAAATGGCTTTGACGTTGTTTTTTGCCATTGAAGGCATTATCGCCGGACCAAGGCAGCGCGTTTTCACTACCGGCTTCCGGTGAACGGCGGATTCGCCGGAAATTAGGGTTTGTTCTTGAACAAAGACGACGGAGTTTGGGGCTGAGCAACTTGATTTTATGTTAATATATTTCAATGTATTTTCATGTATTTCATTGTATTCATTGTCTTTTTTTTCATTATAATTCAATGTATTTCGTTGTATTCCATGTATTTCATTATATTCACTATCTTTTTTACAATGTATCCCGTTGTATTCTATGTATTTCATTGTATTCACTTTCTCGCTATATGCCATGAATGTATTCATATGTTTTTTTTAATTAATATAATTTATGTATTCAGATGTATTATATAATTTCTCTAAAGATTGCTATATTTTTGGGGTATTTTTCGGTTGAGAATTTTTTTGTAACTGAAAATACAAAATTTGTGTGTTATAATTGAGTTTGTTGAGTTATATTAGGAGTTTATTATGTTAATTGATTCACTTTCCGTTTTAAAAACAGTGTAATCCCTTATTTAACGTCGTGAATACAGTCGAATACAATAATCTGTCCAGCTGTAATCCACATTTCAACTCCATGAATACAGTCGAATACAATAACTGATTAGCTGGACTTCCCTAATTCACGCCTATTTTTGCTACTGTATTCATGAATACAATAGCTTAAATACATCAAATACATCTTATAACCAGAAAAAGGGTATTTATAATTCGTAATATAGCAAATGGTATCTATAGATGGCTAATTACTACTAAAAGATGATGCTTTATGAAAATTTCTCTATATTTATCGCGAGTCCATTTAGATATAATCCAACTCTCAACTCATCTAAAAGTTGAGCTGATTTGAGCTAAATATGTAGCATAATTAGTTGACCCATTAGAAACTTGTTAATATATTTATAAAAAACTATTTGTTTCTTTAATATGTTTGATATAATATAACAATAAAGAACAAATATTTAATAATTAAACAAATAATAAGAAAACAAAAAAAAATATACTCTATTAAAATTGGATGGGTTGGCTACGTAAATTCACTATTTACTTTTTCTACTCGGTATACATACGTACATACATACTTATATATATATATATATNTAATTTATTAGTGACATGCCCATCAATCCATTTTAAACGTTCAAATTCAACAAAACCCCTCATTTCGCACCGCTAAAACCAGCATAGCTAACGAAGCACATTCAGAGTGCCAAGATTATGTGCAATAATAAAGCCCAAAATAGATTATCACGACAAATTTGACTTGTTCAAACGATTCAGAGGCAGCACAAAGCCAGAACGGTGTTTTGACTAAGAATAGATTCTACCTTTTAGAGACTTGTTGTCACTACCCAAAACTTAATCCGTTGTGATGGCGCATATCGTAAAATTAGACTTGCCTCAACTCAACATAATTCAAACCATAATACTAAAATTTAGAACACTTGCGGAAAACGCATTCATCATTTAAGTAAAACTGTTTTAAAAACATAAGGCATAATTCATCATACGAAAACAACCATCCCAAAACCAGGGTGCCCACGGAGTACATGAGCGTCTAAAGAAAGAACATAGTCTACTACAATGTTTACTGAGGAAACAACTGAAATACAACTGGAATAAAGAAGGAGGGTCAAGATCTACGAACGCCCTGCAAATACTTCTACTATCTCCAAGTCTGCAACCTCGATCAGTGACTGCTACCGGGACCGAAAACACCTGGATCTGCACACAAGGTACAGGGGGTATCGTGAGTACACCAACTCAGTAAGTAACAAGTCCAACCTTTGGACTGATAAGTAGTGACGAACTCAACCTCATCAAAGGTAACAGAAATAACGTACAGAACATAGGCATGCTTTCAGTTAAATAAATAGCTCGAACAGTAATACATAGCAAGAATGAATAAGGTAAAGAAGTGTAACTCCGCTACATCTATATGCCAATGCACATGCTGTATGAAATGCACCACGCTAAGTGCCTCATGTGCCCACAAATCTCAAATGCTCGTCCACTCAGTACTATACATGGGTCATACGGGCTCAGGGAAGATCCATCCCGGAATATATACATCTATGACAGCAGTCACCCAGTACTGAGGAAGGCCAATTCAGCCTGTGGAGAAGATCCATCTCCAGATAATAATAATAATAATAATAATAATAATAATAATAATAATAATAATAATAATAATAATAATAATAATAATAATAACCTCACAACCACTCGGTACTGTATATGGCTCACAAAGCCCAGGGAAGATCCATCCCGGAATATATATACATCACAGACCATCAGTCTCCAGTACCGAGGGATAGGCCAATCCAGCCTCATGGAGAAGATCCATCTCCATACCAAGGGAAGATCCATCCCTAAATATAATCAACCGTGCTAACTGGGGGTGTGGTACAGACTCTGGAGAGGCCCCTTCAACCCAAGCGCTACCACAAGCCAACGAAGGCATATATCAATAATCCGCTGCAGCGTGCAGCCTGACCCATAACTGTCAATCATAATCAGGCTCTCGACCTCACTCAGTCATCTCTCTCCAGTCTCTCCCACGGGCTCACAATGCCATGAAATCTAGCCCGGATCAATGATATGATGTGCAAATAAATAACAGCTGAGACTGAGATATGATATGAAATGCATGAACATAATTGAGTGCAGAATATCAATGAAAACAGGGAGATGACAACAAGAAACGACCTCTAGGGGTCCCAACAGTATCGGCATAAAGCCCTAGCATGATTTACAATCTATTTACTTCATCAAATGAAGAAACAACGATATCAACAAGATAGAATTACTAATTGGTGCCATGGAATGAACCAAGTCACAATTCTCATGGTGCATGCCCGCGCGCCCGTCACTTGGCATGTGTGTCACCTCAACACCATCTTATAGCACATAGTTCGGGGTTTTGAACCCTCAAAACCAAGTTTGGAAGTGTTACTTACCTCAATCAAGCCAAAATCCTACTCTGCTATGCCTTTGCCCCTCAACTCGAACACCAGATGCTCTGAATCTAGCCATAAACAATTCGTACAATCAACACGAGCTAAAGGAATCAATCCCATAAGAAAATGCTAAGCTTAAGACTAAAAGTCAAAAAGTCAACTCAAAAGATGGGCCCCGGGCCCACGTCTCAAAATCTGACCCAAGTCACCAAATCCACCAACTCATTCAATTACGAGACCATCCATACTAGTTTCACTCAATTCCGACTTCGAATCTACTTTTAAATCTCAAAAGTTCATTTTATGAAGTCCCACAAATTTTTCCCAATTTTCATCCCAAATCTCTACTCAAATGATGA